CCAGATAAGGGGTCGGAAGGAGACCATAAGTGACAATAAATCTATGGTCATGAGACCAGATGTGGAAAATTGAAAGTTGAGTCCCAAAAATGTGAATGATCTATTAGTTGCGGGGCGATAACGGATTAAGTCCACAGATGCTTAGAGGGTCTAGAGACTACAATGTCTAGAAATTTTATATGGCTTGCGTGGGATGACATGGAATGACAGATCAAGGAAATGAAAGAAATGTCAGTCAGAGGTGATCAGATGGGTTAGAGCTGTTTGGGTGGAATGCGGAAGGAAGAATTCTGCCTTTCTGAGTATTTATGCATGGAAAGTATATAGTTTTGTTGCAGCTTCCCAGGAATCCTCAAGTAACACTTTTAGAAAGTGACATAAATCCGGCCCGAACTTTTTTTCTTTACTTTTTCTTGAAGAAATCTGTACTCCTTAAAACGTACTACGTAACAGATATTTAAAGGAATAATGTTTAGGAGTATGAAATTTGAACACGCTATGTACTAGTTGGGTTTAAATGTATGGTCATTAAATTTCTTTTATATGACTTGGTTAGGTTGGTGCCTTGGTTAGGTTGTTTGGTTTTGAGGTCTGAAATAGCCAAGTTTTCTGAAAAGAAGATTAGACGAATGTTTGGGTAAAATTCATTTCAATCAAATTTGTAAATCAAATGCTATATATTCTTTGTTTATTTTATTGAATAAAAACAATTCATGCTTAAGTGCTTAACAAAAAGGGTCTCCTTCATACAAGCCACCACTGAGAAATATGCAAAGAACAATTCAAAAGGAAGCATGTTAGAATATTTTGAAACACAGGGAGGAGTAAACTCCAGTCAAAGACTAGTTATTTGTGACTCAGGTGGGGGAAACTTGATATCTACAAATTATCTATAGATTATCTGATTATGGATATTTGTGTGTATATATACACCCAACATTTGGACCCTAGCCCTATCATTGACAACTATTTAGTCTAAATGTCAAAGTATTTCTTTAGAAATCAAAGTGTCTTGACTTTAGTCTAAGATTCTTGACTTTAGCTGCATCCGTTTATATGTTATGCATACTAATTTCATATGATTAGTTTTAAATTCTAGATCTGAAAAGTATGTATTTACTTTAAGACTTTAATAGTGAACTCTTTACTTCAAGTGTACCCCTTAGTCTCCAAATTACATTTTCTTTGCTTTCGACACATTAATTAATGACTTAATAATCTGGAATTCTGGACTATGGAGAGATGAAAATACTACATATACCGATATACATGAAAATATTTTCCGTGTTTCTTTGATATTTTGCGGGAAACATTTCCCATTATGGAAATAAGAAATTATTTCCATGAAACAGTGTTTTTCACTTTTTGCGAGTCCATGTTATGCTATACTTCTTATCTAGATTTTCTTAAAATATTATCAAAGTAAAATTCATGGATAGAAATATAACTAAAATTACTAAGAGTGTCTTGTATGGTCACACTTATTTTCTTTGTATATTGTACAACTCTTCATTTGCCTTATTAAATATTTTCCAAAATAATTTATTTTCTTGAGAAAACAAATTGAGCCTAAAATGACATGTTTTGATTTAATTCTATTAACTATATATGCTCCTTTTTACTTGAACTGTTTCTGTTCTGTCTTTAATGCTTAGGGGACGTAGTTTTCCGTTTTCGTTCAAGCTTTATTGGGATGGTCACTTTAGCTTAAAATGAGTTGAAGTGATAGATCTAGAAAATTTAATTGATATGTAGCCAATTTAGCGTTACTATACCTGGTCTTACTCTTGCAATCTTTTCTGTTTTTAAAGGAAATGTTTGTAACTAAAAATTGAAAAACATAAATAAATAACCCGGTTTCATCCGTCATCGGGAAGACAATTGTGATTTGACCAATCATCACTAAAGCTGGTGAATCATCATAGCTTCATCCCAAATAATCAAAGACGCGATATAACAACAATTTTGCCTTCACACTTCTTGACAGTGACCCTACTAGTCACAATGACCAGTGACCACTGCCAACAAATTATACTCACAAAGTGACCCGCCGTTACAGTGATCTCACCCGAACTCCCTAGTTTTGTCTGGTCGCATCGGGATCCGTGATCTGACCTAGTGACCAGGCAGTCACTGACCTACCCTCCTTGAACAGTGATCAGTTGCCCGAGATCTCCTCCGCCTCAATAGACTATAGTGACCACTGCCACCCTAGCAGAGAGTGCTCCTGTTGCCCCAACGGTGATCGCATAGTGACCCTCCCCAACCCTGCTCAACCGCTACCCCACCCCCACACCTTGCCCCTATCCCTTGCACACTCCTGTCACCACCGTAGCCCTACTCGGAAACTTTGGCAGCCGCCTCCCCGTCACAACTTTGTCATTGCCGTCAACTGAAATTAAACTATTATTTTTATTGGGTACCTTATAAGGAGGAAACTAATTATTATACTCTAATTACTAAATAAATATAAATTTCAATTGATTTGTTTGAAAATTCTATTTTTATTTTATACGAAGTATGTTCTTGATTTTTAATTAAAACTAACCGTTGCCATTAAAACTAATCTAAAATTGTTGGATAAAAAAATATACCGTACATATAAAATATTATGTACAAATATGAAATGAAAAACTTGAGTTTTGTTCGAGAAGAATTATATGGAGTACATTAGAATTGAATTACTAATGATCTCGGTCATCCGTAGGGGTGAGATCGGTCCGGTCTGGGTCGGGTTTTTGCTAAATTAAACCCGGAAATTACCCGGAAGGTCTAGGGTTATGAAAATTAGGGACCGGAACAAAACCCGTTATATTCGGTCCGAGTCGGGTTTTTGGTATCCCGGGTTCGGTCCGGGTTCGGGTTGGACCGGTTAAAGCCCGGACGTGAAATATGTCATTGTTCTTTTATATTTTAACACTTATTTTCAAATAAAATTAATCAAAAATACAAACCGCAAATAATAACACAAATATTAGTCTCCAAAATCACCAACAATTCAAATTTAAAGAAGATAATTATCTTAATATTTTATGTAAGATGTATATATATATATATATATATATATATATATATATATATATATATATAATACTCCGTATATGTTTCTTAAAAATATTACGAAATAAATTTTATATCAAAAAGTTACTAGAGTTGCTATAAATATATTCTCATGGTCATCATTACGCTAAACAAATTCAACATATTTGTAGTCACTAAAAGTTACTAAATTTTTTTTTTATCCACCGTGATTATAATGATATACTACCTCCGTTCTTAAATAAATGCAACATGTTGAATTTTACACTATTCACATGATGTACTTTGACTACGTTTTATTAAATTTGTCTCATTGTAAATTTTCAAAATCTAATTTTATACTCCCTCCGTCCCGCAAAGATGTTCCCGTTCATGATTCATTGGTCAACTTAGGTCACTTCTAATCTTTTACTTTATATATCAAATTTTTTACAAAATGAAATTTTCTTGATCAGGCTTTGTAGCGGTTTTAATGTAATTTCTGAATATATAAATTTTATTTACTAAAAATAATCTGAGTGTGAACAGGGATCGAGTTGCTTTATCGTCAGTCAAGGATCGTAAACCGAATGGAAACATCTTTGCAGGACGGAGGGAGTAATTTTTTTACTAATACAAAATTATATATATTAATGGTCAAAGTTGTGTCTCGGCAAATGTGAAATGTTGACTGTTGCATTTATTTAAGAACGGAGGAAGTATTAGGAAATATTTTATTTATATTCATATACTATATTAATTTTATATTAAAACTAATTGTTTCGGGTTTTTTCGGTCCGGGCCGGGTTATAGATTTTAAGGCCCGTTAATGAGCCCGGAATTTTCGGTTCGGTCCGGTTTTTTTTAATTCGGGCCGGTTAAAAAGAAAAACCCCGAACCGGGATCATAACTCGAGTTGGTCCAGGGTCAGTTTCCGGGTTTCGGTTCGGTTTTTCCCACCCCTAGTCATCCGTGCATCACATGACTTGAAGTAGTGTATAAAATGAATGAAATTTGAAATATACAAAACATTTCAAAATATGCGTATTTAATTTTGAAACAAAATATACAAAGTATTTTAAAACATAGAATGAAAATTTCAAATTTTATGTAGTTTTCTAGAATCAACTCGATAAAGTATTCCAATATATGGAATGCAATTCATGATTAAAAAAATGTTCCAAATATACACATTCTTATAGTGAAATGATTATATGCTTTGTAATTTATTTGAAAATTGATGCTTCATTCTATATTTGGAAATCAACACTATGAATTTAGGATTTTTTAAAAAAAATTAGGATTTAATTGTAATTAATGAATATTTACAAATTGTACTTAATATCAATTAATTGAAACTTCAGTTTCAATTAGAATTTTGTCCAAAAACTTTTGTGACTTTCCTTTGAAAGTAATAAATTTGTGGTTTTCTCTACGTTTTTTCAAGTAACGAAGTCTCAACCGCAAAACTTATACTTTTCTTATTTAAGGAGAATATTAAGAGCCCGTTTGGTAGCCACTTTTTCGGCTTATTAGTCTTATCAGCTAGTTTTTTTACCAAACACGTAACTTTTGATTTGGCGCGCTGAATTGCGCAATAATAAGAAAAAAGTAAGGTTGTAGTTACTTTTCTGACTAAATTGACTGAAGTTACTGTAGAGTATAATTTTAACTATTTTTTCATATTATTTTTTATTTTATTTATTAATAACAAATATTTTAAAAAAGGGGCAATTCATAATCCATGCAATATGCAAATATAAAAAAGATAAAAGAAAAAATGCATAAGCGTAGATCGCGGACAGCACTTGCAATAAGATAAAATAAGGGGCAATTCATAATCCATGCAAAAGCGCGGATGATCTATCCTAAGTTAAAACTTTGCTTCAAACGTAAGCGAGGGAGCGGTTTAAGGTCTGCGTACAACCTACGTACGTATGTGCTTAAACTTGAAGCTACTCGTTTCATCTCCTGCTCTATATATATAACCTCCATTCCTGGCATGGAGGGCCCCTTACTTACTTCTTCTCACATATTTCCACTCTTCTCACAATTTAGATCCCACACGTTCTGGCCTTCTCAGAATATACCTTTCTTCCAAGAATTATTTCCAGAATGTCCAACTTTTGCTTTTCTCCTTTTAGCTCTACTTGTAAGTCCTCAAAATGATCAATGTAGTAATGTGTAGTATTTGATACCATTCATTCTTTGAATTGTTCGGGTAATAGCACGGGTTTCTGCGTTTTTATGCCTATTTGATCTTGGAATTGTATATGTTCACACCAAACAAGGTTAGTTTATAGGAAACACAACACGTGAAAATCTTTTTTTGGTGGATGAAAATAGCTTATCAAAAGGTACTTTAGTTAAGAAGAGTTACAGAACAGTTTGGGAAAAGAATTTATTTGATTATAGATTTTGATCCCCTGAATGTTATATATTCTTGAGGTGAAGTAATACTAGGCTACCATAGCGAAAGGCTTACCCACGATTGAAGGCTGACCGGGCTCGCTATGGCATTGGCTGACCTCACGAAGCAGGCCGATCCGGGCTTCATGGGACTGGCCAATGCCATTAACCCCACCACATATAGTCTCCATATTACAATCTAGGGAGGCTAGTTAGTTACTCTGCGTGTTCTAATCTGGCAAGCATCAACTGAGAAGATAACACCGTTTGAGTGTTGACACTGTATTTTTTAATACTAGTAGCATTTTAAGTTTTAAGACCTTTTCTTCAATTAAAACATTGTTCATAAACATGTTTTATTATTATTTTGTGACAGCTCTCAGCCAGACATCTGGCAGCAGTAATCTATTTGCTGGGAACTCTACTGGTTTGTTTGGAACAACTTCGTCAGCTCAGTCTCCTGTGTCAATATCACCTTCTTTCGGCGGTAAAAAGATTTTTAAATACACTTGATGTTAATTGTGTATTCCCAGTAATTGTTTATTATTTTGGGGTTGATTTGTAAGGGGGGGTTAACAATTGTTGCTTAGTCAGTAAAGGCATTTTACATATTCTGTTTATAAGTTCAAATTTCTCCATTGGACCCTGTATATATATAACTTTGCAAAGACCACTAGTGTCTTTTTATATTCTAATGTATTAGAATATCAGATTTTATTACCTTTTAAACTAACATTCTGCTCATTTTTCCTTAGCAAATCAATCATGACAGATAAATGAATTGTAGTTGCTTGACATGCTTTAAAGCTGTGCTGCTCTTTATCAGATTCATCCTAACTAGAGTTACTACTTTGAAAGTTGAAACTATTAAGACAGGATTCCATTCCAAAAGTCATCCCGAGAAAAAAAATAGTTCAATATCTCATGCAGTAGTTCATATTGTTTTGTCGATATGAAAATCCTTCAACACGAACTTTAACTTAAATCAATCAATTTTGTAAATGTACAAATCAATTCTATTTTGTTGCTTCAAACATTAACTCAAAAGAGTATTGAGTAATGTTCTGCTTATTTTCTTCTTCTTCAAATTTGTGCAGTTCTCACGCAGCCATCTTCTATCAACAATTTTGGCTGGGGAAGAGGTAATATATTTGGTGGGAATTCTACAGGTGTTAATGGAACAACTTCAGCTCCATCACAATCTCTGCCAATAACATCTACCTGTGCTGGTATGATCACTCAAATAACATATATTCATTTCTGTCAAACTTACTGTCCTCATAATTGAGATGCTAACTGTTCTTTTACTTATCTATTTACTTCATACTACAGGTCCTCCATTTTCACCTTTTCAAAGCCAACCAAATGCCAACTCTCCTTTCCCTTCTGTTCTTTCTTCAAACCTTTTCTCTCCTCAAACTCAAGCACAAAACAGTGGGCTGACACCATTTTCATCATTTGCCAGTAAACCGAATGCTAATTCTTCATTCGCCACTCTTCAATCGAATCCGTTTTCAACTAAACCGAATTGAATATGTTTACACCAAATTAACAAGGTTAGTTTATAGGAAACACAACACGTGAAAATCTTTTTTTGGTGGATGAAAATAGCTTATCAGAAGGTACTTTAGTTAATTAAGAAGAGTTACTGAACAGTTTGGGAAAAGAAACTATTTTGATTAGTAGATTTTGATCCCATGAATGTTATATAGTCTGGAAGTGAAGTAATACTAGGCTACCTTAGCGAAAGGCTTATCCACGATGGAAGGCTGACCGGGCTCGCTATGGCATATTGGCATTGGCTGACCTCACGAAGCAAGCCGATCCGGGCTTCATAGCCTCATAGGACTGGCTAATGCCATTAACCCCACCACATATAGTCTCTATATTACAATCTAAGGAGGCTAGTTACTCTGCATGTTCTTATCTGGCAAGCATCAACTGTGAAGAATTTTTCGTTTTAAGACCTTTTCTTCAATTAAAACAATGTTCATACTTCATAAACATGTTTTATTATTACTTTTTGACAGCTCTCAGCCAGACATTTGGCAGCAGTATTCTATTTGCTGGGAACTCTACTGGTTTGTTTGGAACAACTTCGTCAGCTCAGTCTCCTGTGTCAATATCACCTTCTTTCGGCGGTAAAAAGATTTTTAAAATACACTTGATGTTAATTGTGTATTCCCAGTGATTGTTTATTATTTTGGGGTTGATTTGGTAGAGGGGTGAACAAATGTTGCCTACTCAGGAAAGGCATTTTACATATTTTGTTTACTAGTTCAAATGTTTCCCTTGGAGTGTGTATATTCCAATGTATCAGAAGATTAGATTTTATTACCTTTTAAACTAACATTTTGCTCATTTTTCCTTAGCAAATCAATCATGACAGATAATGAATTGTAGTTGCTTGACATTTCATAGAGCTCGGCTGCTCTATAGGAGATTCATCCTAACTAGACTTACCACTTTAAAACTAGTAAGACGAGGATTCCATTCCAAAAGTTATCCCGAGAGAAAAAGTAGTTCAATATCTCATGCAGTAGTTTATATTTTGACGATATGAAAATGTTTCAACACGAACTTTAACAAAAATCAATCAATTTTGTAAATGCTACAAATTAACTCTATTTTGCTTCAAAAATTAACTAAAAGGAGCATTCAGTAATGTTCTGCTTACTTTTTCTTCAAATTTGTGCAGGAGTTCTAACACAGCCATCTTCTACCAACAACTTTGGCTGGGGAAGAGGTTATGTATTTGGTGGGAATTCTACAGGTGTTTTTGGAACAACTTCAGCTCCATCACAATCTCTGCCAATAACATCTACTTGTACTGATAAGATCACTCAAATAACAGATGTTCATTTCTGTCAAACTTACTATCCTCATAATTGAGATGCTAACTCTTCTTTTGTTTATCTATCTACTTTATACTACAGGTCCTCCATTTTCATCTTTTCAAAGCCAACCAAATGCCAACTCTCCTTTCCCTTCTTTTCATTCTTCAAACCTTTTCTCTCCTCAAACTCAAACACAGAACAGTGGGCTGACACCATTTTCATCATTTGCCAGTAAACCGAATGCTAATTCTTCATTCGCCACTCTTCAATCGAATCCGTTTTCAACTAAACCAAAGGCCAGCTCTCCTTTCCCCTCAACTAGTTCAAATTCCCATTCTCCCTTTTTCTCAGTTCAGCCAAATCCGTTTTCTTCCCATAATGAAACCAACAAAGGAGCCTGGGGATTTTCACAATTTCCTGTCCAGCCTAATTCTAATTCTTCTTTTCCCTCTGTAAGCCCTAATCCGTTCTCTAATCAGCCTCAAACCACTGGATTAAATGGATTTAAGGATTGTTCTAGCAGCCAATCGAATTCCAGTTCTCCTTTTCCCGCAGTTCAGCCAAATCCGTTTTCTGCTCACAATCAAAGGATTCAAAGCAACATAGGAGTTTCTGGATTTACACAATCTTGGAACCAGCCTAATCCCAATTCTGCTTTTCCTTCGGTTAGTTCAAATCCATTTTCTATTCAAACTCTAACAAGTGGATTGAATGGATTTGTGAATTGTTCTAGCCAGACCAATGCTAATCCTTCAAATCCATTTGCCCCTCAAGCAATCCCTACACCGACACCTTATTCTTCTACTAAATTGCTGGATGATGGAAATTGTAAATCCATTTCTGCTATGCCAATTTATGCAAATAAAAGCCATGAGGAACTCAGGTTCGAAGCCTACCAGCTTCAACGCAAAAAAGGTAATTGCATTTGCACTTTG